TTATATTTTTATTTATATTTTTATTTATATTTTTAAGATTAATTATTGTTTTTGAAATTGTAGATTATACTTCATTTTAATCAATTAAAAAAATATATTATTTATACTTTTAGCAATAAACTTTAATTTGAATATCAATTCTAAATTATAAGTTGCAGATAAGTATGTTTAGCTGATACCATAATATTGATTGAGTTTGATAATAAAAATGTAAGTTTGTTTATTATGTAAAACAAATAACAATGAAATATGACTTATATTATGGATAAACGATAAAATCTAAACAAAATTATGAGATCTAATCTAGCAATAACGCTGTTTTGTGAAACAACTTTTTTTTAATTCTAACAACTGCTAAGACATCATTTTTAAAATTATATTAGGAGCTAAATTACAAAATAATTTGAAAGTTTATTGCTAACAAATAAAAATACATATCAGCTAAGATGTTCTCTACACTTTTAATCTAAATTTTTTCATTATTATTAATATTCCGACAAAAGAAATAGATTAATTTGATATTCTTATTCTACTTTACTAATTTCTTTATATCATATTTATTTTGAAACTTTATTAAAATCAATTCTATCATTATTCAATTTCTCTTTTAGTATATTATTTTCTAATTATAGCTCTTGAAAAATCTAAATACAATGTATTTCATTTTATTTATACAAAATCAAAATAAAATATATTACTAAATATTTAAATCAATTTAACATACATATCTAAATCATAAAATCATAAAGACTTAAAAGATTTAATCCAATTTATAGTGGTAAATAAAAAAGAAAATAAAACGATATAATGGATTAACCACTTTTCCTCTAATTCTTGGAATAATAAATCTGTAAACTAAAATTCTGAAATAGATTATAATAGGATCAAAAATAACACAACTCATTATAATAGAGCTAAATATAATGATTAACATGCTATAATTATTTATTTAGGAACATTCTTTTCTAAAAATATAAAATAACTTACTAATGTTATTATGAATAAATAAATATCGCATATGTTGATATATGAATCAAGAGATACAAAAATATAATGAATATCTGATATATTCCTTTGAATCTATAAATTGCTTCAAATATTTTAAAAATCATCCTAAAAGCTAGTATTACAAATTAGTTTATGAATAAAATAATTGCCCAAGTGACAGTATTAATAACAATATAATTAGATTCATAAAAAGATAGTGGTATTAAAATGCTTAGATAAATTGATAATTTGAAGAATCTATAATTTTTTTTTATTATAAGATCTTCGCAATAAAACAGAGAAATAAATTCATGAGTAAACTATTTATTAATAATGAAAATTTTACTTTGAAGCATTATTTTATAGTTATTAAATTACTTTAATAAATCTTCAATCTAGCAGAATTTTATAAATCTATTTCTGTCTAACTCATACAACTTTCACTAGTTGTATGAGATATATATCTAATAGGAGGAGTATCTAATTATGATAATTCATAGAATAAAAAAATTGTAAATACTACATAAATTCCATGAAAGAGAATAAAAGGTTAATCTTCTAATTTTAAATCACATAATTAAGTTTCCATAATAATTTTTTCAATTTTACTTACATTTTATTCACTTTTTGTATGATTCAGTTATCTTGTTAGAAATATCATTCCTAAGTGATAGCATTAACAAGAAACTTAAACAGTTGAATTATTTATTTCTTTAATTATTAAATTACAAAATTATAGTAAACCATTATTGTTTATCTGAACACATTTAAAATTAAAAGAAGGTAAAGAATAATCTGCACAAAAAGAAAATTAAGTAATATCTACTAGATAATAATTTTTTAATTTTTCATAATTGATGTATTAATTTTTGTATAGGTAACTCTATAATCTTGTTTTCTAGAAAAAACTTCTCTCTATTTCTAATTCTGAATTATTCAAAAATAATCTAATATCTGATAAATATTTATCAGATGCATTAAAATAATTGAATTATATATTCAATTACTCTTTTTGAACAAATGCAATAAAACCATCTAATATATCTTTTTCTTATTCTTCTTATTTATTAAAGACACTTTTGGTAATTTTGGCTAATTGATATTTTAATATCTAACCATCTAAACTAAATTTTTAACCATTTACTTCAACTTATGCTTATACATAAATTGACATTTTCTCTATTAGATTAATTAATTCTTAAGATAAAACAATTATTTTATCTTTTTCTTCATTAATAGTAACTTATGTTTTTGAAATTTTTAAAAATAAATCATCTACTAAAAATATAGTGGTACTTAATAAGTTATTAATTGATTCCTTTTATTAAAATAAAATTTCATCGATAAATATATCATTTTCATTTATGTAATACTCTAAAATAGAATTTCTTACCATCATTCGTTATGTAAATAATTTAATTTATTTTACTTATTTTGTAAGATTAAGCACAGTATCATTAGATTATTATGAAACTTAAAAGTTGTTAATTAGAATCTATTTTGTTTTGTTATCATAACAACTATTTAATTCAGTTTAAGTTAATAATCTATTTGTAGTAATTAAATTTTCTATTTAAATTGTGAATCGTTTGACAAGTTTTATTGTTCTAAATAGCTAATATTTAATCAAATAGTTCTTCTGAATCTAAATATTTCTTTACAATTTCTATTAAACTTATAGATAATTATGCACAATTTGGTTCATTATGATGATTTTTCTTAATATCAAGTAAAAGTATGATTAATTAATTAAAATTAAGATTATTTTGTAGTAAATCTGAGCAATTATAATAAGATTTTGTTATATTCAAATACTATTCAACATTTGACATTGAGCCTCCTTCATCCATAATTTATATAAGAGCAACTCCTACACTTTCAGGTAAATAAATGTCAAACAAATTAGATCTTTAAAAACTATAAAGAATCAAGGAATAATCTGATTAACTATTTTTAAAATCTATATAGTCTTATTCAAATAAAAAAAATCTTAATTAATAAGAAAAAGGAGAATCATCTGATAAGTAACAATTTGCAACAGCTTTTATTAATTTTAAGGCTTAAACAGTTTTTGAACTTAAATTTATTTAACAATTTGGAGGCTAATTTAATGTTAATTATATATCATATGAACTAGGTATTATATTGTTTGTAAATTGAGCCAAAAATTTAACATTTATTTAATTTCCTTTATTAAAAAATTAAAAATGATCATATAATCTAAAATGATATTTAGCATATTATGGTTCAAGTATCTTTACTAATTAAAAATCATATATCAAAGCCAATGAATATAATAATAAATTATACCTATCTTCAAATGGAATATTATAATCAAATTGCAAAGTTTCATAATTGTTGATTGGTCTTATAATGTATCCTAAACTAAAATTGACATCAAGAAATTTAAAATCATCATCTAAGAAAATAATATTTTGTTTAAAGGAATATTCATTTTTTTATTTTAATGCTACTACAGTCCAAGACCATATACTAAATGGTTTAACAGTTAGTTTTGGTATAAATTAAATGGAATCTGTTTTATTTACATTAATTATCTTTTTATTTAAATCTTTACAAGCAGTATCCTAAGTTAAATCTAAACAGCTAACTTAGATTATTATACCTGGATCTTAATTCCATTCATAAAGAGTATCAAAATCTCTACAATATATACTAATAATTAAATCTTTTCTATAATTTTGAATTTTTTTAGTACCATTAAACAAACATTTTATACCAATTGCTTCTATATCAATTGTAAAATTTTTATCAATTTAAATATTAGTTGAAGGTTCTTAAGTAATCATTTAAAATGTATATGTCGTTTTAGGTGTTAATGTATATTTTTAAATTGTTACATTAAATTAATTCTGGCTAATTAATTAAGAAAAGTTAACTCTTGATGATCTAGAATTTGAATCATTTCTTTAAATTTCAAATAATGACACCTAATATCCTGATTAATCATTGTTAATTGTACCAAGACAATCTTTTTTCTATATATTAAACATCAAAACTATTCGTTCTAAAGTAAAATATTTTTTCTTCTTTTAAAAAAACACTGAAGGAATCTATCCAGAATGAGTTTAAATAACAATTTATTATTAAGCCTTTTATTTAACAAAATTTTCAAATTCAACATAAAATGTTATTTTTGATTGTTTTGGGAGTGTTTAAAGTGGAATAATTAGATGTAATTATTGAAGAATAGTTTGATATTAAACAAATTCATCAAGATTACCTTATCCATTTAACCCTTCTATTAAATATGACCATGATATATTTATTAAACTTCTGAAACCATCTTATTTGGTTGAATTATATAAAATTAAATTATCTTCACATGGATTCAGCAAATATTAAGGTATTTCATATTCTATTTAAGGTGATACTGGATTAATAGGAAATTAAACTTAATTATAAATAAATAAGCTTATTTTTATTTAGCAGTCAATATGGCCAAATGTATTACTCAAAAATATTATTTAATCTCCTGGAATTATCTTAGAATTATGTCCTAATTAGAAAATTAAATATTTATTATCATCTTAATTTAAAAAACAAAAAGGATCATTTCCTAATAAATTAAGTGTTTAATCAGCTAAAAAATTGAAGCAAATATTTCCAAAAGTTTAAATTTAAAAATAATTTGGGTTTAAAGGATAATCAAATCCAACAATGATTGATAACAAATCATCAGATAATCGAATATCTAATACAGCTATTTCACAATCTAGAATTATTCAAAATATTATATTACTTGAGCACCATTAAGTATTTGGATGGCTTATTGAATTTTAAGGACATTCACATGTATTTTCATTTGATAAAATTCTGTTATCATGACAAGTTAAACATCCTTCTAAAGTACAAGTTCTACAATTCTCATCACAAATTAGACAATTTATGCTTTGATGATCATCATAAAATCCATCTTCACAATTACAAATTGGATCTTTAATACGATTTCCCTTACAAACCAAACAATTTGATTGATTATATTTACATGTAAAGCATTTAAAATCGCATTCTTAAAAGTATTTAATATATATAATTACAAATGCAATCTTGTTATCCAGCTTCGAAATATCCATCTTAACAATCACATTATTTATTTATTCTACCTCCTTTACAAATTATACAATTTGATGATTACTTTTCGCATGTACTACATTAATTATCACATTCTAAAAAAATCTAAAATGAATACATTCACAAACTTTTTATTCACTTTCAAAATATCCAGATTTACATGCACAAACAGGAGGTCCTTATCTTAGACTAGTTTGACATATTATGCAATTTGATGGTGTTAATATGCAAGTTTTACATTGATAATTGCATTTTTAACATTAAAATTATATTCCATCATCAAAATAACCATCTTTACAGTTACAATTTTAAGTGATTGTTAATCGATAAGATGTTTAAGAAGTTTAACAACTTAAACAATTATCTCTTGAGCTAATACAACCAGCACATTTTATATGACATTCTTAAATTAAAATAACAAATAATACTTTGACATACTTCATTCTCATCTTAATAAAAATTTGATAAACATGGACATTTATGAATAGGAGATTAATCTATTCTATTTTGACTAATATCACAACTTGTACAATAATATTTCTACCCTTAACATGTCAAACATGATTTAGAACATTCTATGAATATAAATAGAAATTACTTTCACAAATGATTTATCCTTGATCAAAATATCCAGGTTAACATAGACATTAATTCCCATTTAATATTCTAATTTATTCAACTTCATAACAAGATTTACATGAAGTTGAAGTTATTTAGCAAGTCTTACATAAATTATTGCATTTTTAACACATTTCAATTCCAACATCATAGTATCCTTCTTTACAAAGACATTAATTAGAATTATTAAGGATTCTAAAATATATAGACTCACATGTTAAACATTTTGTTGATTGATTTATACATGTTTAACATGTTATGTCACATTCTATATATTTTATAAATAATATATATTACATTAACATTATTTTTAATTAGTTTCATAAAATCCATCTTTACATGGACATTTTAAACTTTCTGGATCATAATATCTAGTTATAGATTCACATTCTAAACATTAGAATGCATTATCACATTCTTTACATGTTATATTACAAACTATTGTAATTTATTTAATTTTATTTACCTTCACATTATTTTGTTTGAATATTAAAATAAAAATTAGGCTGGCAAATGCATAAATTATTATAAGATAATTATAAATTTAAAAAAGGATCACATGATAAACAATATTTAGAAGTACTTTCACAAGTTAGACAAGATATATCACATTTTTAACATTATTATGATTAATCTTCAAAATATCCATCTTAACAAACACATTAATTTCCAGTTTATAAGATTCTAAAATCATCTGATGAACAAGATAAACAATGATTATCTATATTAATACATGTTAAACATGTTTTGCTACAAAATTTACATTCTTTATTGATTTCAATTTCATAAGTACCTTCAACACAAAAACATTAATTGTTTTATAAGTATTTTAATTTATCACAGGAAGTACAAAATGTTAATGAATGTAAACATGTATAACATGAAATATCACATGATTAACAAATTCCATTAATATCAGTTGTACCAATTTAACAAATACATTAATTAGTTATATTATCTAAAACTCTGAATTATGTTAAATCACATTCAGTACAATATTAAGGATTAATTTTACAATTTAAACAATTTTCATCACATTTGCCACATGTTTCTTATCCTGATTCATAATGATGTAAATCACAATCACACGTATTACCATTTAAATGTCTAGTGTTTGAACAGGAAGTACAATTATATGAATAATATTAACATGTTAAACATTAAACTAAACATTATTTACAATAAGCAGATATTTCATCATCATAATAACCCATAATACATTAACATATTCCTCCATTATAAACTCTATAAGATAGGTTATAATTATGGCATGTTTTACATTAATAAGATTCTTAACCTAAACAACTTAAACAAGAGTAATGACATTATTAACAAACATCTACTCCAACATCATAATAATAATTATTGCAAATACAAGAATTTAAAATACTAATAAATTATCTATTTGATGTTATTGAACATGTAATACAATTTGTAGCTTTTGAAGAACAAGTTTTACATGAATAATGACATTCTATCAATTAATATAAATATTACTTTAACAAATAGGATTAGTTCCTTCATCAAAATAGCCTTCAGGACATTAACATGTTTAATAAATTAACACTCTTAAACTTAAAGGAGGACATGATAAACAAAAGTTATCTGTTATTGCACAAGTTTGACAACCAAAATTACATTCTATTATAAATTATAATAGTTTATACAAGAACATTTTGGTTAGTTATTATCAAATGAATTTGAATTACAAACACAAGTTGTTCCTTATTAAATTCTATTATCTTAATCCCAACAAGAATCACATTCTTCTGATGAAGGTCCAGTACAAGTTAAACATGTATAATGGCAAGCTAATATAATATATTTTTTATTTCTTACGTTAACATTTAGTCTTAAATTAATTTAAATATGTAGATATGAAATATCCTTAAAGTTTAGTTTTACATTTGCATATAGTTCCTTCTAAATACTTATCTGATTTACAAGAAGTACAATTATCATAAGATTATTTGCAATCTAAACAATAAATACTACAAGCTAATAATAATATTTTAATAATATATACGTTGGCATTCTGCTTAACCATTATCAAAGTATTATGAAACACATTAACACTAACTTTAATTATCTATTTATCTTTTAAGATAAGTATAGCAAGTACTACATTAATTAGATTGAATGCCATTACAAGTTAAACAACTATAATGACATGCTATGATAAAATAAATAATTACGAATACAAATAGGATTTCCTGGTTCATCATAATATTTAAGTGGACATAAACATGAATTATCAGATCCTAGATCTCTGAATGAGTAGTTTGGACATTAATCACACTTATCAATATAATCAGTGCATGAGGCACATCGATATGAACATGCTATGATAATATATTTAAATAATGTAAATACATGAACATACTAAATCTCCAGATTATTTTTCTAGATGTCCATCTTTACATAAACATTAATTTGCTTTAACAATTCTATTATTAACAGTAGAACATGAGATGCAATTATCAAATTCGGGACCATAACAAGTAGTACATGTATAATAACATTCTATAAATAATAATAATAATAAATTTACTAGAACATTATAATTAACCTATATCATAATATCCATCATTACAATTACATCTAGTAAATATTAATTATCTAAAATTGATATCACAAGATAAACAATTAGTAATATATTGTCCATTACATGTTTTACATGTAAAATGGCATTCTAAACATTCTAATGAGGATTCATTGCTAAATTAGTGTGAATCCTTGCATAAACATTTAAATGTTGATCCAATTCTATCAGGTTATCTTGTAGATGGACAACTAGTACATTAATCTTCAGCTGGATTATTACAATCTAAACAAGAATTATGACAACCCACTAAATATTAAATTCTATATAAGTACAATAACAAACTATATCATTAGTTCCATTATCAAAATATGCTCTATTACATTTACATTCATTTTATAATGTTAAATATCTATTAGATTCACTAGAACATTTAGTACAATTATTAAATAATGGTCCATTACAACTAATACATGAATAATGACATTCTAAAACTTTAAACATTGAGTTACTAAAACAAATATCAACTATTCCATCTTCTCCATATCCTTCTTTACATTCACAATTCAATTCATCTGATACTATTCTATTCTAACCACTTCTACACATAGTACACTATTAACTTTATGAATTATTATCTAAAGCTTAACATTTTTCACATCTAGGATGACAAGCTAAATCATAATATTATTATTATTACATTAACATTATGTTAGTCCATTACTTAAGAATCTTTCTACCTAATCAACATCACATAAACATTTTCCACCAATCAATTATTTTTTATATATATTTGGATCTCCACAATCTGTACATTCATTATCAGATGTTCCTGAACAACTATAACATGAAAAATAGCATTCTTTATATTTTATATCTATAATATATACTCTAACAAATCTTATCTTCTAATCCTGTATCATAATATCCTAATAAACATGGACAACTTTTTCCTATTAATCCTCTGTTTCTTGTTGCACTACATGATAAACATTCCTCAAATTTTAAATCACAAGTTTAACAATATCCACTTTAAAATTAAATGCATTCTCCATTTAATTCTGCGTAACCTTCGTATGCATCACAAACACATTATCCTGGAACTATTCTAGCAGTTAAAAATTTTTATTTATGGTCACAAATTGTACAATAATTTGGATCTGTGGCCAAACATGCTAAACATGGTTCATTACATTCAATAAATGGTTCACACTTTTTATCTACAGTTAAATAATGGGTTGCAAAACAACTTATACATTCATTTTCATTTTTACAAATAAAACAATTCTCTAATCCTATTTCATCTTAACAAACTAAAATATGATTGCAATATTATTACAACTACATTTAGTTCCTTTTTTAAAATATCCTATATCACATTGTAGACAATCAGTATCTATAGGTAATCCTTCATCATTATAAACATAATCTTATTTCATGCAATTCCAATCTACAAAACATTATTAAAATTTTAGAGAATAAGGCCACTTACATTCTGAACAAACTCCTAAAGTACATACTTTACAATTAATTATTGGACATTCTAAAATTAAATATTTAAATTATACCAACACATTATCCATCTAACAATTCATAACCATCTAAACAACTTTGAACTGAATATCCATCTGAATTTTCTGAACATTATCTCCCACCAGTCTGGCATTCTTAAATCAAAAATAATAGATACTTAATGAACAATAGAAGTCTTCTGAATTTAATGGTGAATAACCATCTATGCAAGCATAGCATGTAACGAATTACTTATACAAACATGTTAAACAATTCTAACCACATGCTTTTTATTTTATTCTAAATTATACGTAGTGCTGGTACTGGATATGGAGAAGTTGTACAATTTACTCCAACATTTACTCCATTGCAATATTAACATTTATAAATTCCATTATATTTTTATCCTATTATACAATAATATAACAATTTGAGATATTCTGTAGTTATTATTATGTTTTCATTTTGATCAACATTATATATCAGAACAGAAGGACCTATAGCTAAATGTGTAAAATATTCGCTATTATAATACAAATTATATCCTTATATCTAAGGATGACAAAAGACTTCATAACCATCATGTATAATTTATGTTGGGTATGCTATTCCATAACAAGTAGATACAGTCCCTATTTTTATATGAATTAATAATTACCTGCACACATATAAGGATGAATTCCTGGCCAATACTGATTATATGTTGGACAAGATTTTTAGTAAATTTTAGGATTAAAATCAATTTCAAAAGATCTAAATCCAAATCCTACTTACAGTGACTTAAATATCACTAACATTCTAATCAAAATCGTTTTCATCTCTCTTGTATTTATATATTAATATTTAGAAGATTTATATTTTATAATTGACAAATTAATTTATTTTCTTTTGAAATGTCCGTTTCCCAGTCTTTTTCTTAATATAAACTACACTTAATTTTCATTATTTTTCATATTTTATTCCCTTATTCTATTATTCCTACTTCATGCTAAAAGTTATTAACTTATGATTGGTTTTATCTAGCATCAAATAATTTATTTCATTTTTTCAAATTATACAAATTTCTTTTTGCTCAACTTGTTTTTATATACTATTGAGTCCAATCATTTTTATTTGTAAATCTTAATTATTACAACAATTTATGCACATTTATTCTAAATTCTTTATTTATTGTTATTAGCACCTTGTAAAAAGTGTTTGATAAATATTGTTTATTCTCTGGAACAGTCAGGCGTTGAATAGCAATAAAAGTATAAACAAATACTTAATTTAATTATTATCATATATAATTAAAATAAAATATATATGAGTACTTTTGGTAAATAACAAGAATCTAAGAAAAACTTGGCAAAGTACTCTAAATAGGTAATTAAAAACAGATTTAGAAAAAATTGAAGGTCAATTTGAGAGCATAATCATATTTTTTAAAGAATCTGATTTTAACATTTAATATTTTATCCTCATTTAAAATAGGATTGTTATTTTTGGATTCATTTTTAATTTAAAATATATAAACAAATTTTTATGAAAGAAATTAATAAGTCGTCCATATTAATCGTGTGTTTTATTAAAACCCAAAAAAGCAATTAACATTAAAAATTTTTGGAAATAGAGCTCTTAGCACTCTTTAAATAAGATTGATATTTAATTAAATTTTTTATTTAAATTTCTTCAGTTTTAATCTTCAATCAAGATAAAGAATTTTGAAAATTAAAAAGTAAACTATTAATACCTAATAAAAACAATATTATTCAGTATTTTCAACTAAACAGTATTTCAAATGTTAGCAATTATCATATATTAATTTCTCAGATAAGTAAATTTCTTAATTAATTCATCAAACTAGAACGAATAAATTAGAATTGTTTTGATTGCTTTTAATTATCTTATTTAATTTTTGGTTTCATTCTATCTACTTAAATTAAATAAAAAGCTTTTTAAATAATTTTGCCACATATGTTTTAATTAAGCATTGTAATTATTTAATGTCTCTTGATATCTCCAAGATTCTTCATGAAAAATTGCTTTAATTAAACCTCTATAGTTCTCAATAACTATTTTTTATTTTTTCTCCAATCATTCAATTAATACATTTTATTATAAATTATTGGAAGGTATATAATTTAATCATAAAATATACTATAATTTTTGAGTTTGTTTTCTTGTAAATGATGGGTGAATTGTGATTCATTGATTTTCATATGTGAAAAATGATGGTTCTTAGTGCATATTCTAAATTTAAGTGGCTACATTTTTGGGTTTCCTTAAAAGTTTAGATATTGGAATTGTAAAGCTAAATTGAAACTCATAATCAACAAACAGCCTTTAACTTTTTAATTTTTACCAACATTTTTGTTAATAAAGATTTTATCTAATTTGAAAATTTTTTTTGGTAAATTAATTTTATAAATTTGTTGGGTTTGGGTTTGGGTTGGGATCGAATTTGTCGTTGCNTAAAAGTATAAACAAATACTTAATTTAATTATTATCATATATAATTAAAATAAAATATATATGAGTACTTTTGGTAAATAACAAGAATCTAAGAAAAACTTGGCAAAGTACTCTAAATAGGTAATTAAAAACAGATTTAGAAAAAATTGAAGGTCAATTTGAGAGCATAATCATATTTTTTAAAGAATCTGATTTTAACATTTAATATTTTATCCTCATTTAAAATAGGATTGTTATTTTTGGATTCATTTTTAATTTAAAATATATAAACAAATTTTTATGAAAGAAATTAATAAGTCGTCCATATTAATCGTGTGTTTTATTAAAACCCAAAAAAGCAATTAACATTAAAAATTTTTGGAAATAGAGCTCTTAGCACTCTTTAAATAAGATTGATATTTAATTAAATTTTTTATTTAAATTTCTTCAGTTTTAATCTTCAATCAAGATAAAGAATTTTGAAAATTAAAAAGTAAACTATTAATACCTAATAAAAACAATATTATTCAGTATTTTCAACTAAACAGTATTTCAAATGTTAGCAATTATCATATATTAATTTCTCAGATAAGTAAATTTCTTAATTAATTCATCAAACTAGAACGAATAAATTAGAATTGTTTTGATTGCTTTTAATTATCTTATTTAATTTTTGGTTTCATTCTATCTACTTAAATTAAATAAAAAGCTTTTTAAATAATTTTGCCACATATGTTTTAATTAAGCATTGTAATTATTTAATGTCTCTTGATATCTCCAAGATTCTTCATGAAAAATTGCTTTAATTAAACCTCTATAGTTCTCAATAACTATTTTTTATTTTTTCTCCAATCATTCAATTAATACATTTTATTATAAATTATTGGAAGGTATATAATTTAATCATAAAATATACTATAATTTTTGAGTTTGTTTTCTTGTAAATGATGGGTGAATTGTGATTCATTGATTTTCATATGTGAAAAATGATGGTTCTTAGTGCATATTCTAAATTTAAGTGGCTACATTTTTGGGTTTCCTTAAAAGTTTAGATATTGGAATTGTAAAGCTAAATTGAAACTCATAATCAACAAACAGCCTTTAACTTTTTAATTTTTACCAACATTTTTGTTAATAAAGATTTTATCTAATTTGAAAATTTTTTTTGGTAAATTAATTTTATAAATTTGTTGGGTTTGGGTTTGGGTTGGGATCGAATTTGTCGTTGCATATAAAAATATTTCTAAATAATTAAAATTTCATTTATTGATAATTTGTTCAATTTTAAAAAGTATTAATAAAATCAATATTAATAGATTTTTTTATAAGGAAATTATTTTTATGACTAAATTGTGAAATTTGATTTTAGTATAGTATTTTCAATATTAAATAGTGAACATTTCTAGTTTATATTTGTAAATGAGACTTCTTTAGGTCATATTTACTAACTGCTTTTAACTAAAAAAGAACATGAAAATAACAGATTTCAATTTTTGGTTCATAAGGAAGTAATTGATATTTGGATTATTAAATCGTTTTAATGGCCATTAATAGTACCATTAATAAAAATGCTTCTTCGTTATATTAATTTGGATAATAGTCAAAATCACAGAGCTTGATGATAAAAAAACACTGAATGAAATGTACAATAAATTTCTTCAATCCTACTGACATTTGTTGTCAAATGGTATACATTTTCAAATCCATTAATATATAAATTCAATTGCATAAAAGGTTTCGATAGGTACATTAATTCAATCACACAATTTCAAAAGAATTTGGGTATATAAGCGTTATAAATTTTATTAATGTTAATATTATAAATTTATATGTTGTTTCTACACCACTCATTCAGAATACATTTAAAAAAAACACGATAAATCTGTTTCATAAAATTGGCTGTTAATAATTATTGCTCCTTATTATAGAATTAAGTTTTAAAATATTAGTGAATGCAAATTCAAAATTCATATTTTACAAATTTATTAAGTGTTATCTTATATTTAATATTATACTATTTATAAATATTTATTTATACAAAAAAATCTTTACTGATAAAGATATTCATTAAATTTAAAAGTAGAAGACTACTCTTGAAGGCTTTGAGTCCGAAAATTTTGAATTAGTTTTTAGTATATACCTTTTGAAAATCTTCGAATGATTATAAGTGTTTTCCAATTTTATAAAAATGCCTAAGAGTTAGAAAATAATAAAATAAAGTTGAATATTAATTAATTTTAATTTCATAAAAATATAATTAATATGAGGCAAATATTATTAAATCTGAAATTGACTAATAAAATTTACAAATCAATTATAAAGTAACTTTCTACAAAATCCATTAGAATTTCATTTATACTGAGAATTTATGGATAATAATGCTTTTTAAGCTTTATTTTATAATCAGAGACAAATAGTTGGATATTAACTTGATAATCTTTTACCAAAGATTTTATAATTGTAATTATTGTAATAATTACATAATCGTTTAAAACCAAATAAATACTTTTATTCATAAGAATTTGATATATATAATTGTAGCATCTAATAATTTGAGAGGAGAAAACTTAAGGCAACAATTACAATTAATTATAAGGGTTAAAGTTGAGAACCAAAACTTAGTTGCATCTGTAAAAGAAATAATGAAAGATTTAGAAATATTCAACTTTTGATAGAAGAAACTATTTGATTTCGTTATTAAAAATTGTACTATATAATTAGTTCTTCATGGCATGTTAAAGTATTAAATTTAGATTATTGCATATAACTGTTTTAATAGCTATCTAATTAGTTAGTACATTTAGAATGTTAATCTATTCAAAGAATGATTATGATTCATTTTTTATTAATGAATTATGAGTGATATGACATACTATTAAATAATAATATATAATTAATCATAAAATGATATTTAGTATTTTAATTAATGAATCGTAGATTCAATTAGCTTTATTGTTTAACTGGCACTCTCTAAGAGTAAATGGAGATTGAAAAGATTCAGATAGAGAATAATAAAAAAAAATCTGCATCACAGCAAACAAATTATTTAAAAAAAAAAAATAATCCACCTATTATCATGGAAAAAAGCTAAGATAAATTATCAGATAATGATTAATACGGCATAGACTTCAATGGAGATGAATGAAGTTAATTTTAGCTTGATTTACTTTATTCATAATATATTTATATGATCGTCAAATCATCAATATTGATTGTTAACTATAAAGATAAATTTCAATTTATGATGGAACTCTTTATGGCTATTATTAGTTTGAAATAAATTCTAAATCTTTTCAAAATCAATAGCATTCTTAATCAGTTGTTTAAAATTGCAATAATAATATCCAAAATTGATGAGTAACATAGAAATCAGATTAAAAAAAAG